CTGTGTTTGTGTCTATCTAATTAGCCAACATACTTGAAACTACTAACAAAGACATGGATATGTTTAAAGGATACTAATTTCAAAGAATGTAGGTAAATAATTTTTAATAGTTATGCCTAGTCTCGTATTGTAAGTATTATATCAGGTAGTGACCATAAGTCATTAACTCTTTACCTAGTCGCTAATTAACCCCATAAAACAATATTTCAACAAGGCAAGGTCGCCTCACCACGAACATTAGACTGAACTTATTAACGGCCCGGTCATAAACTCATAATACACATTAAATTATTTAACACAGCTGTAAAATTAAGCAAAACTTAGACTCGAACCGTCCCCACTATCTCCGCTAACAGTTCGTAATTCAGCCTTCACATCCCTAGACTGTCATAAAACAAAATTTCCCCTTAATTACAGCAGCTCATGAAACTATTTGTGTACAGGACTTATCTTAAGTTATGTAACAACGCAGTTCCAAAACAATCCAGTTTGAACAATGACTTAGGACATCTATTCACTGTAAAATGGCACACACGCTAATCTTTATCCCATTGTGTTAGAGGCGAATTTAGTTTGTAATGTGTGTCAAGTAATAATGTATCGGTAATAGTGCAGCGGCGCGCGGCGCGGTATTTGTTAGAGTGGGCAACAGTTGGAATGTTCCGTACAACACTGGTCACAGCCAATAATAGGGAATGCGATAGTAACATTTGTACTTAACTGCGGGAACTCCTAACCGTGTTTGTTGTATCAAGTTTTAATTTCGAACAAATAATGTTTGTTAATTTCAATCTCGCACATGCAGAGAGTGCGGCACCGACATTTATGCGGACGTATCCCGCACAAATTGGTATCAGAACGAAATTTGGTCGTTTCAAAGTAGTAAATTGAGCGGCGCGCAACGTTTTAAACATTTTAAAGTAAATATTGGCCGGATTGGTATTTTCTCGTTTTTACGCGGAACAGCAACACTTGGCCGGCCATGTTCCGCGCAGTTGATCGCGCACTAAATTTAAACGATTGTTAAATGAAGTCTCTAATTTCGGTTAGAATTGTTTAACTCCTATTGTTCCGTAATATATTGCATTTAGTTAGTTTTGTTATTTTGCCAGCTATTTAGCCGTGATTTAGGCGCGATAATGGTCGCTCGTTAGCACTAATATATTGACTTCGCTGTTGTAATTAATGATATTACGTGATTTTAATGCGTACATAAGATAATAATCCGTGGTGTACAACTATGTACCTACATATCTCAAGCTGACAAATGACCGGACTAAAATAAGTAATCGTTTTGTGTGGCTACAGAATTCAGTCAGATTTATGCGTTTTATTTCTCAGTAAATGGGAGTGCAGTGTGCAGTGTGCACACAGGTTTTGGGGCCGGACTTATGTCACTACGGATTTCCCTCATACAGCAGTAAGCCAAGCGGGACCAGTGCGGTGTATTTCAATGGGATTACTTTAGTCTTGAGTCCATGAGTCGACAATAAAATAAATATAGACACCATCTTTAGTTCTTGTGCCTTGATCTGGACTGTCTCGACGAATTTATAAGTATTATTTTTATTCTAGAAGACAAATATTTTTATTTTGTGTTGCTACTTTTATGTAATAAGTACGCATCAATTCTCGGAAACTTACATAACGTAATGTGAGACATAAAATGGGGCTGTCCTGCATTCGTGGAACAAAACTGAAACTAGTCTATAAATATTAATAATATTTACGAGTATAGTACCAACCTACCGATGTACTTCTAGTAAAAAACAGGAAAAAAAAGACAAAATAACAAAGGCAATAATTTTACCTACTCCATATTCCATACTATGAACAATGACAAACATTAAATACTGGATAGATGTTAGGAAAGCAGGGGGCACCACTAGAGCTGGCACGCCGACACTATTCCTCGCCACGTTGGGCCGCATTGTGTTTGCTCATCCACAGATGTGAGGGCCCCCTTGTCAGAGCGGGGCCCCGGAACTCGTGTGATCCGGATTTAAGACAATATGGCACACCACTTCGCTTCAAGTGACAACGCTCTTGGGTCAACATCAAAATAACTGAGGATATGACTCTGATTGTGAGAGGGTTGTTGGATTGAATTTGAGAGGGATCCTGACTATTTAATGTTTAGAATTTGGTTTAATGTTTGAATTTGTATGATTTAGTGTTATGTACCTAGTGATCGTTGGTGTGGTGTTTTGATTGTGATGATTGATTTTGACTGTATCAGAGCAGGGATGGTGAACCATTGGCACGTGTGGCGTGCTATTGATGGCATCTAACATAATATTTTGGGCACGTCATTGATCACAAAATTTGTCCTATATCGTTATTTTTGTTCAGATGTGAATAATGAATAATGATTCAGTTACACAAATGAGTCCAGATCAGCCTGAATTCTGCTTATCGAACTACTAATAAAAATAATTAATTATTATTTTAATGGCACATGTAGGACCTCAAAAAATATTTCTTTATAAAAATGACATGTTGATGCGTAAAGGCTCGCCATCTCTGGGTTAGAGAAATGTTTATTGAGTTTTATAATTATTTTCATGATCCTCAAGGATGTCATGAAAGATAATTAATTATGGTGAACCTATATTGTATGAAACTAAATAATAATGTAAATAAAAGGGAGCGGTTTAGTAAAAGCAATACTATTACATGGAGCTTCCAAATGTCTGCTTGTATGCATACAGGTACGCAATAACAGAGAATATTATAGAATATAATGGTAATACTAATAAAGGTAAACGACCGGTTAGTAAATGATTCACAGGTGGACTCTGCCCATGCTCTCGCTATAATCCGCCGTAACTACCCCCTTGGGAAGCTATGGAACCACCAAAACAATTACAGCATGTCATGGCGGAACACCATAGTACTCGTTTATCATATTTCAATAATCTCCCCTGTGGAGGAGTCATCTATAGATTTATTACAATTGCCGGCTTTTGTCCGCCTTGGTTACGAAATCCTGGATTTTTGCAGAAAATAATTAAACTGGGATTGTAATTAAAGTCGTTACCTGTTGTTTGAAATATTTTTGTATTAATATTAAAGAGTAAACACAATAAAATGGAGTTTAAAAAATTTATTGTTTTACATGATAATTCAGAGCTCCATAGTCCGACAGCGGAGTGTCTTTGTCTGTTAACCCCTCGAGCGTCCTTATGAGCACCCGGTGGATCATAAGAAAAAATGCTCTAAATGTCACGTGTGCACCCGTTGGAACATAAGGAACGCGGACGTTCGACGGGTTAATGATGGTGATGCTGATGATAGAATGAACAAATGTCAATCGTAGTGTAGTACCTACCTATATATACCACTCAAACAATACATGCAAGCAACATTATACCGTAATGTTCCAATAAAATCTATTACTTGAAACCCTTTAACCAAGAATTCATCAATTCCACACTTCCCTGAAAAATAAAGAGAAAACCCACGGAACACTTTCGGCATATTAATAGCGGGAATAGTGGTGGAATAAACTTTTAAATCACTTGACACAGGCGGACATAAATAGCGCGGGTAAATTGACAGGGGACCTGAATTGTGACCACCGTCTTATGGAACTGAACCGCAATAACTCTTCGCACAGATTCGGGTGCCCTCAAACAAGGAGTTTTAGTTATTGTACAGGAATATAGTTTTGTTATGTAAAACTTCGATTCTCGAGCGATTAAACTGTCAAACACCAAGCGGTCACCGGTGACCGCGACCTATTGTTCTTTAATTGTGTCTATAAAACCGGTACTCGACGAGTTAAAGTAGTATTATTTAGTTCTTCGCATTACTCACGTAATTATTGACGAGGAACTCGACTACTTTCAAGCCATTCTAGAGGCCCATATTTATGTGCAGCATTCGACGACCCGTGACGCGGCGACTGTCGCCGCATGTAAGCTGAAAAACATAATAATTAATTTAGTACTTACGTCTCACGAAAGTTTTAACATAACATAACATCACGCCTTTTAGCCCCGAAGGGGTAGGCAGAGGTGCATATTATGCCATTGTACAATGTAACACCCACTTTTCACTATTTATGTTATGAGTGCCATGTAATAGGGGGTGAGCCTATTGCCATATACTGGGCACAATTCCAGACTCCGTGCTTTTACTGAGAATTTAAAAAAAAAACCAATAATACTTTGCCCGATTCAGGAATCGAACCTGAGATTCTTGCCCAGCAGTCGCCCTTGCGACCACTCGGCCAATGGCAATTACGAAAGTTGTAATCCAACCAAAAACATTCTGTAAAAAAACTAGCCAAGCCTTGATGGAGCTGCTTGTTCACTCTAAAGGTAATGAAATCTAGACAACGTCGTGCCAAGTCTAAGGTTCCTTACTGCGATTTCTTTATTATTATATGTAGTTAATGTGGTGTGACTTGGCCGCGGCGAACCTCTAGCATGACTTAAAACTAGTCAAGTTCCTAGTCAACCAACTACGTGAGTAAGCCGAAAACATAATAATTAATTTAGTAAATCTTCATATAAGCATACAAACTAGTATCTAAATGAATACTAAATTAATTTTCCGTACATAATAACTGAATAGCATATTTTACGAGTATGCAAGTTTCAATCGCCATAGTTCCGAGCTAGGGAAAGAACACAACATTTCAATTAAAATAAAGACAACAACAACAAACTCACAAGTACACTAAGTGGGTAGTACTAGGATCACAGAGATATAGTAGATACGGCATTATAATAATTTAGGTTCATGAAGATTCATTCCAGATTTTCCATGCTTCGGCACGAATGGGCCGGCTGGACCGGAGTGATACCATGGCCTCATAGAAAACCGACGTGAAGCGACGCTTGCGTTGTGTTTCGTCGTGTGAGTGAGGTTACCGGAGGCCCAGCTACCCTCCCCCCTTCCCCAATCTCCCCAACCCCCGAATCCCCAACAATCCTCAAACTCCTAATCCCCAAAAGGCCGGTAACGCACTTGTAACGCTTCTGGTGTTCCAGTTGTCCATGGGCGACGCCGATTGCTTACCATCAGGTGATCCGTCTCCTAGTTTACCGGATTATACCATTAAAAAAAACTGAAGCTATATTAGTTTAAACTGGATGACCATCTTCGGCGCTGCGCATTATGGGTGCGATCCACAGAATACTTATATTTTGTGCTGTAAAAGAAAACATTTCTACGGTTTCTTAGAGGAAAACTTACCAATCGATGACTTAAATTTTAACTACTTAACTACACTTTTTATGTATAAACAATTTCAAGTAATGTCAACAAAAGCCTCGAGTGACGCTCTCGGTCAGCGACAAAAATCATTCGAGGGTTTGTTTTGTCGCAGTTTAAGTTTCAGACGTCCATTTACAAATCGAGGTAGATAAATAAACCAGTCAGTAATGATCGTAATGACGTGTCGTTGACTGTTTAGTAGCGTGCAGCGGGCACTAGACGCTTTTGTAACAACACACAATCTAGTACTTACCGGTTTTATTCTTAGTTTGTTTTAGAATTTAGAAGAGTAGATAATTATGATTAATTAGTTTTCACCCGCGACTTTGCCCACTTATATCTGTTTTATCCTATGGGAGCATTTAATCGGGATAAAATGTATCCTGTCACCTAAGTCAGCCCCGCCTGTATTCCAAATTTCATCAAATTCCGTTCAGTAGTTTCAGCGTGATTGACAGGCAAAGATCCAACCAAAGAAACTTTCGCATTATTATAATATTAGTGTTACATTATGAATCTATAACATATATTTGTTCTTAGGATCTCGATATTAATTAGTATTTTACAGAACGGCTTTACATCATTTCCGTATATTTTACAAAAGCACATTTGAAAACAATGAACTTGGGAACTAAGTGAAAAGATTCAAGAATCTTGTATGAAAGCCTATGTAAGTATTACCTACCTACACATATCAAGATAACAAGTTATAAAGAGTGGGTCCCTTTGTTCCTCGGTGGTAGGAGTTCCAGTGTGTAACTCAAACAGAACTCGCGGTTCAACTTGTTTACAATACCCCGCATACCGGCGACATGATCAAACATGCAGAGACCACATACAAAACTTATTCCACGAAAAAACATTGAAATTGGATGTGAAACATGGATCAGGTCGAATTGATTTTTATATACTCGTATGTGTATATATGAAACGAGTGTTTGAATGCTTGAATGCCTTATGAAAAATTCGGGAAAGAGCTACAAATAAACTTTCTATTTTTAACCTACATTAAGGTGGGTGCTTTCTATTTAGAACATGCCTGGATCATTAATAAATACGTGTTCAGTTGTATAATTTTATTAGTTGTTAGTAACCAGTACGAATTTAGTAACAACATCAACAACCTATAAATGCCCAGTGCCCACTGCTGAGCAAAGCCTCTTCTCACACAGAGAAGGTTAGAGCATTAATCACCATGCATGCTCAATGCGGGTTGGCGATTTCAAACTTATAATTAGAAATTATAAGTCCAGGTTTCCTCACGATGTTTTTCCTTCACCGTTTGTCAGTGGTGTCTAAATAATCTTAGAAAGTACATATAACTCGGAAAAAGTCACATTGGTACTTGCCGTTGATAGGTTTCGAACCCGCACCCTCATGCATGAGAAGTGGGCGTCTTAAACCTCCGGGCCACCACGACATTTTTGTATTGACAATTTAGTAACGCGAAGTCTTCAATGACATTCAGCCGGTACGAGATTTTACTTGACCTCTAATCAGAGAGTACTACATGACGAAAAGGTTATACAAAAATAACCAACGACGGTCAAATATCATTCGAAAATACTAATCAATTCCATAATTATGATGCTCTTAGTTAGGTTCCAAGAAAAAGTCCGTCTTTAGAGTCGCTTTTTGCTTATCGAGATCAATTTCAGTAGTATGTTGTGTGATTACTTAATTCCACGGCTAGTGGGCAGGGACCCTCATAAAGATAAGACGGGAATGAGTGGGGCTCTTCTTAATTTATGAACAAGTGTCGTCTGGGGAGCCCCTTCATGTAGCCACGCTCTTACACGGATATCGTGACGTAATAAAAGCCAAAAAGCCTCGCTGATGTTTATCTATGTTTTTTATCTTAATGCCTTACATCGGACCCTTAAAATAGATTTTGTTTTAAGTGATGACGGCACTTGTATGTGATGTCGATAAGAGATCTCCTTGATCTTGTCTTCAAGATCAATGAAGCTGCAATAATTGAAAGCAATCGTTTGTAACTAATTGACATAGTATAGGGTAAGTATTTACTCGGACTCATACGAAAGAGACATAATGAAAACAATGCATACTTATTGAGAAAAACATATGCTTGTAAAAGTATGCTAAGGTGTCCATCTCAAGGTTTCACTAAAATTGTTACCAGTTCAGTTGACTTGTTTTCTGTAGGATCATTGTTGATATCGACTGTGGCTCACTCATAAAATTTCATAAAGTTTATAAATAATTAATAGGGAGTACCTAGTTACCTATAGCTATCTACATAGGGATACTATAATAATATGAATTATGGATACAGCATAATTTAAATTCTAAAACATTTTTCATACCGTAAACAAGCATATACTCAAAATGTGTGTTCTACTACAGGTAGTAAAATATTAACTACACTTCTGTGTATTGGAGCATTACAATGTTTTAAAGCAAAAAGCTTTAAAAGTGGGAAAACTTGGAAGTGTTGAATGGAAACAAGATATTTAGGAGTAATGAGCCGTGAGCCGCCATTGCGCGTGTGGGAAACAAAACAACTTCTAAGGCTTACCACACCAGTTTGGTTTCAAAGTTAAAACGATTGAAAGTTCATATCAAATTGTATTAAAAGTTTGACTGCCTCGTTGGCCGCGTGGTCGTCAGTGCGATTGCCGGGCATGAGGTCTCGGGTTCTATTCTAGGAAGGGCAAAAGTATTACTGGGCTTTTTTAAAATTCTCAGTAGTAGCACGGAGTCTGGAATTGTGCCCGGTATATGGCAATAGGCTAACATTACATGGGACTCATAACATAAATAGTGAAAAGTGAGTGTTACATTGTACAGTGGTATAATGTGCACTTCTTCCTACCCCTTCGGGGATAAAAGGCGTGGTGTTATGTTATGTTTAAAAGTTTAACACAATATTATTCTTGGTCTTTTTCTAACATAACAGAATAGACAGAGAATCATCATCAGCTTTTTTAAAAGCCCATTGCTGAACTACAGGCGCCTGCTCTTTCCTTGGCACGAATGGGGCGGCTCGACCGGAGTGATACCACGGCCTCACAGAAAACTGACGTGAAACAACGCCGCTTGCGTTGTGTTTCATCGTGTGAGTTAAGTTACTGAAGGCTTCATTGACCTAAAAAAAACTTGATGCCCATTCGATTATAGCCTTAAAATACATCCCATTTCCTTACTGATCAATCCCCAAGCGGTCACCAGCGACCGCTCTCCATTATAGATCTTATTTCCGATGTTTAGAGACTACTTTTGAATGAACAAATTTTGGGTATTTATGTACGAGTTAACTTAAACAGATAATGTTCCGTACACAATTTACTTTTAGACTACGTTTAGTTAGAATAGTTCATACGAATGTTGCAAGGATTGCGTTTGTCTTCATATGTGGAAGTTTCTGCAATTGATTCCTTTGTGTTCATTTAGAGGAACTCAAGTAGCGGAGTAAGCAATTGTAGTTTAATTTACCTTAGGTCTGCGTGTAGCTGAAATCACCTGTGTGTATGTGTGAGAGAGAGAAAGAAATAGAGATAGAGAAAATATAAATAGTGTCTTATTAAAATTAAGATATTTTCAACACAAAACGGAGCAGGTAGTTCTAATTTCTTTTTTCTACCTAAAATCGTATAATTTTCTTCGGAAAACTTAATCGTCATAAATGATTAACAAATCTGACACATAAAGTTGTAAACCCACCCCACCTAGTACACTGACGTCAAAATACAAATTAATAACAATTTCTCAAGGTGCACACTTAATTCCGTTCTCCAATTAGCGAGTGGATGACATCTTTCGCGTCTCATTTATCCGGATTAGCCTTGTCGACGGTCGGGCCGGTTACTGCCGGTTACTGCCGGTTACAGCCGGTTATTGCTAGTAAAGCGCGTCTTGCCGGCTAATAGAGGTAGTGCTCTTAATTGAAGCCCTTCGCTTCTATGTATGCTATCATTGCGCCCAATATTCTTAGATCCCGCCATGTTTTCTTCGTAAGTGTCGCGTAATTATATGATTTTCGTTATGAGGGTGGATAATTGAATATATCTTTTAATGCCAGAAACAAACCCGCCGTGAAAGGTAACATTTTAGAGGGTTGAGAATTAAGTAACCCCCTGTATTTTTAAGTAATTAACTACTTTAATAAAAATGAGCTATTTTTAGCAACATTTTGTAGCAAATAACCAGCTGTGAAAACGTGAAACACATTTGTGAATGAAAGTTGAAAATAATTACGAACAATACAATAAACCGGTTGAAAGATTGGTAATTAAATAATGAGTTTAATTCACAGTAAACTGTAAAGCTGTAACCGTGATCAAATTAATCCACCTATCGGTTAACAAGTTCCGGCGCGGACCGACCACTCGGTGTACACACTTTCAAATAATTCCACAGTCACTCGCTTAATATTAAATTAAAATGACAACAATTTCAGATAAGGAGCGTCGTTTAATGCAAATGTTGCTAGTATTGTGCTCGTGATTTATACCTGCACCACTAGACATAATTTAAAATGCTCGTAAAAACGGCCCCAGATTACCACGACTAGCATTTCTGTCACATAAAAGGCTAGTAATAGCCGCTCTAAATATTGTTACTATTCGGACGCGATCTCTGGCTCATTTCTACTGAATTGTGACCGTACATATGCCACGTATCTCGCGAACTATCATTTTTTTGCGGGCATTACAGGCTTTTTGTTGTAATAAAAGTCGGCTTACATTATTTTGATGGAAGACCGAGGACGAGATTGAACTTTTTGGACTGGACCTTTTTTATTACCACGGCGGCGCGGCGCGGCGCTGCTATATGTAGAATAT